GCCCTGGTGACAGAAGATACAGAGATGGCAGAGTTACTGAATGCCTTCTTTGTCTCTGTCTACTCTGCTGCAGGCAGTCCTGAAGAGCCCTGTACCCCTGAGACCTTAGATGAAGTCAGGCCGACGGAGCGGTTTGCCTTAGTCGATGAGGAATGGGTTAGAGATCAGTTGAGCAATCTGGACATCCATAAATCCATGGGTCCAGATGGGATGCACCCGCGGGTGCTGAGGGAACTGGCGGAAGTCATTGCTAGACCACTCGCCATCATCTTTACCAAGTCTTGGGAAACGGGAGAGGTGCCTGAAGGGTGGAAGAAGGCAAATGTCACTCCAGTCTTCAAAAAGGGCAAGAAGGAGGACCCGGGTAACTATAGACCGGTCAGCCTCACCTCCATCCCTGGGAAAGTGATGGAACACCTTATCCTTGGTGCCATCTTAAGGCATATCAAGGATAAGAGGGTTATGAGGGGCAGTCAACATGGCTTCACCAGGGGGAAATCATGTTTGACCAAACTCTTAGCCTTTTATGAGGAAATAACACGGTGGATGGATGATGGCAGAGCGGTGGATGTGGTCTACCTTGACTTCAGGAAAGCATTTGACACAGTCTCCCACAGCATCCTCACGGCTAAATTGAGGAAGTGTGGACTGGATGATCAGGTAGTGAGGTGGACTGCGAACTGGCTGAAGGAGAGAAGCCAGAGAGTTGTAGTCTATGGGGCTGAGTCTAGTTGGAGGCCTGTAACTAGTGGAGTGCCTCAAGGGTCAATACTGGGACTGGTATTATTTAATATATTTATCAATGATTTAGATGAGGGAATTGAGCGTACTATCAGCAAGTTTGCTGATGACTCTAAGCTGGGAGGAGTGGCTGACACGCCAGAAGGCTGTGCTGCCATCCAGCGAGACCTGGACAGGCCGGAGAGTTGGGCAGGGAATAACTTGATGAAATATAACAAAGGAAAAGTGTAGAGTCCTGCATCTGGGCAGGAACAACCCCAGGTTCCAGTATAGGTTGGGAAACACCCTGTTAGAGAGCAGTGTAGGGGAGAGGGACCTGGGGGTCCTAGTGGACGACAGGATGACCATGAGCCAACACTGCCCTTGTGGCTAAGAAGGCCAACGGCATCCTGGGGTGTATTAGAAGGGCGGTGGTTAGTAGGTCGAGAGAGGTCCTCCTTCCCCTCTACTCTGCCCTGGTGAGACCGCATCTGGAATATTGTGTCCAGTTCTGGGCCCCTCAGTGCAAGACGGACAGGGAGCTGCTGGAGAGAGTCCAGCGCAGGGCAACGAAGATGATTAATGGAGTGGAGCATTTCCCTTATGAGGAAAGACTGAGGGAGCTGGGACTCTATAGTTTGGAGAAGAGGAGACTGAGGGGTGACTTTATAAGTGTCTATAAATATATAAAGGGGGAGTGTCACGAGGATGGAGCCAGGCTCTACTCAGTGGCAAACAACGATAGGACAAGGGGTAATGGGTACAAACTGGAACACAAGAGGTTCCACTTAAACTTGAGAAGAAACTTCTTCTCGGTGAGGGTGACGGAACACTGGAACAGGCTGCCCAGGGAGGTTGTGGAGTCTCCTTCCCTGGAGACATTCAAAACCCGCCTGGACACATTCCTGTGTAACATTATCTAGGTGTTCCTGCTCCGGCAGGGGGATTGGACTAGATGATCTTTCGAGGTCCCTTCCAATCTCTAGCATACTGTGATACTGTGATACTGTGAAGGTAGTTTTCAAGTTTTACATTCAAAGTCTTCTTGTTCATACACCCTAGTTAGCTGTAACAAGCCACAGCTGGAAATCTGTGACTATCAGTTCATTTTCCACTCTTATCAGTGGCAACCGGGTATGCAGATGAAGACATAATAGTACATCCCAGGGGGCGTGGGACAGCAGCCTGGGGAATTATGACTATACTGGTCCTCTTAGTTTGGCAATGGTTGGAAACAGGATTATCCTTGATCTCAGCTCATCTCATGTGGCGTATCTAGAACTCAGCTGCTGACTGAGTATATAAGAACACATCCCCGACCAGTGGAAATAGTCCACTAATGTAAAAAGAAGTTTGAGTAGGAGGAAAGTGGTAGACTGTGAAGAAAAAAAAAACCAGACTAAACTTCAGTAATGTAGTTGGATGAACTACAGATGCTCAGATGTTATGGTATGAAGAGAGTAGTAAGAACTGGTTTGAGAAATTTCTTCTCTGTAGTCCTGTTTATCTTTTGCCTCACTGCAGGTGAAAGATGATCCATGTTTACAACAATCTCAGAGTAACAAAAAATGTAGTTTGCATTCTCCTGTTCCTCTTTTTCTGGTGCCATGTTTTACTGATATTTCAGTCTTATACATACATACTTTTTCCTCTGTATGATTCTTTCCCATGCTTGAGTAACATGTTGTCTTCTTGTATTCTGTATCAAAGGTGATGTAGTATGAACCTTGGGCAAGGTTCAGTACGTGAAGAGGACTTATTTGAGTTTCTTGTGTTTTCTAGTGGCATATTTTCTTTGACGAATAAAATAGGAATCAGGTTGTTTCTGGTTTTTTTTCTCTCCAGTGGAAAAAGTTTATGGACTATAGATTAATAATCTGTTTGTGGAGACTAACTTCTTTAGAGAACTAGTTACATTAATCCACATATGCAAAGATTTGATAGAGAAATCGATTTTAGGTGGTGTTTTTTTGGCCGATTTTGCAAAAGATCAGACTAAGATTATCAGATGCCTCTTCCTGTTCACATGAAAAATTTCGAGGAATTAATTCTTCATCAAGGTGGAAAAGAAAAATGGCCCTACAGTTTTTTTCGGGGCTGTCCAAGGCTCACAACTGAACAGCAAAGTAGTGATGAGTTTAATGGATTTAAACTTCTTTTTTTTTTTTTTTTTAAAGTATTATTGAGTATTTAAGTACTCAATAACTATTTAAGTATTATTGAACAAAAGCAAGGCTTTTCATAGGTTAATTTACCAATACCATGATACCATGTTTATGAAACTCTACACAATATCGCGTGAAACAAAACAGGCTGTGTTTTAGCAACTTTAATGCATTGAGTTCATGGACTCTTTCCAGACATGTTTCCAGATGCCATGTTATATAACTGGTTTTCTGCTACTGGTTTTCCAGTTTTTTGTATCTTATGAACACCTCATTTCCTTGTTAGACAGTACTGTTTTAGAAGGAAAAAGTAATTTGGAAGGACTTTTGAGTTTGACTGTTTGCATATGACACAGCAAAGTAAGAAATGTTTAAGCATAGAAGGCAGCTAGACTGAAGTGTTATATTAACTTATCATTGTAACTCTAGGTCTGTGGCTTCCTTGCAGCACGAGAGGAAAGAGGGCATTCTGTTGTCTTGTAATTTAACTGTAGGAAAGGTAGAATGAGATTCTGTTAAAAAATAAATAACCCTTTTTGCTGGGAGTGCACTGGATTAAATTGCAGTTGCTTTACCAAGGTTGGAGGTGCACTAATACTCGCATTTGAGCACACTGGGCAATGAAGTCATTCTTGCACCATGATGATTCATTTATATATTGTTTTGTTGGAAATGCAAAAATATTTTAAGTACTAATATGCCCAAGAGAGTAAGTCAGTTTTCTAATTCAGATGATCAGCAGGTTAAACAACTCTCTGCTTCTGTTTAAGGCTCCGCTTCTCTCTCTCTCGCTCCTCCCTCCCCCTCTACCATTTGTGGTGTTTTGGTTTTGGGTTTTTTGTTTGTTTTTTACTATATCCCTGAGATTTCAAAGTTAGCCTGAGGAAGTAAGACACAGTCTGATGTCCAGTGCATAACTTAAAGTAAACGAAATTTTAAAAACATAGGACTGGTTCATTTAATATTGAATGCCCTTTTCTTCAGCCATAAACTTATAAACTTTATGCAGTGAAAAGTGGATTTTGAGATGCTTTTGTAAATAATGCATATTAGAGCTTGATGCAATGCAAAGGAAAATAATTAGAAAAACTTCAGCTTGCTTTATAGCAGGCCGTGAGCAGTTTTGTATGCATTTTGTTGTTCATTCTTCATTGTGCCTCTTCTCATTATTTGAAGTTGGTGCCACAGGCTTTTTATTGTTCTGATGCGCTGTTTTGCCTTGCTTTTATATTTTTGCCCTGAATTTAACTGTCTCCTTCACACAAGCCATTTTGCAAATATCTATTAGTTTGTTTTCAAAGGACAAGATACAGAAGGAGAGTGGGAAGAATATCTGGAGTAAAATAGGATGAGACAGGAGGCTCCTTAGAATTCTGATGCTGACTGTATGGTTGTCTTAAAGTCTGTAACTTTCATCTGTCCAAATAACAGCTCCCAATCTTGATTCCTAGAAACAGTTAAATCTGACTTGGCAGCTCTGTTGAGCTGTGTGTTCCTTATTGTCTGGGCTGGCAGGAGGAAGTAAGGTATCAAGAAGATCTGGGTGGAGAAGGGAGGAACAAAATGAATATGGTGAGATCTGAATGTTTTAAGTATGTACACAGTGGGGAGAGAAGAAAAACAGGTAGCGGTACTTCCAGGAGATGTCTTCGCTCAAGCACTATTTTCATTTCCACACCTTTCATACTTCCTATTTCCCAGGAATACAGGAGTCTCATCCCTGACCTGCTGTTCCTTTCTGCAGTATGCTTGGAATATATGCTGGTGGGGCAGGGAAGCAAACACAGATTTGTTTTGATGGAACAATCACAGAATTCCTTGCTTAACCCTGTTTGCACCTTTGTCCTTCTCTATTGCTGATGAAGAAAAACATGTCTGGGAGGAAAGACAGCTTATTTCCAGGCCAGTTTTCTCATAGGGTTATTTTACACAGACTTTGTTAATTTCTTGTGATATAAAGGTGATTCAATTGTAAACACTATTGTACTCTCTTTTCGCAATCTTTGATAAATTCAACTTGATGTTTCCTTAAACAGATAGAAAAAAATTGTTTATACATTACTTGTCTGTTCTGAAGTGCTTTTGGAAATAAACAGCATATTCTTTTGCTGACAGGATTTGAAATCCAGCAATCAGCGAGATGAAATTGCTGCAGCACGTGCAACCCTGAAGGAAAATTCCTCTCTTCTACATTCGATATGTTCAGCTTGTTTGGAACATTCAGATGTTGCATCCCTATCAGCCAGCAAACATTCAATTTGCAATGAAATACAGAATGCTCTCAGTGTAATTTCTAATGCTTCCCAAGGAGTTGGAAATAAAGTGGGACAACCTACATCTCGTGCAGCTACTCTTGGAAGTGCACTTGATGAGCTTGAGGTATGTAAACCTGTGAAACTAAAACATTTTTTGAAAAATAGTTTTGTTTTTTTTTTAATTAACTATTGCTGTTGTAAGTGATGGACCTAATGGCATTAGAAATTTATGCTCTGCTTAGCCCTAGTCTAAATACTATAACTGTAAATTATTTCATTGCGAGGGATCACTTCCTTCAAAAGAGTTTGGAATTAAGTCTTCACGTATGTTCAATATTTAGATTCATCCAAAGAGCAGGGAATTTCCAAGTGCATCACTAATGATGGAGATTGACAGGTCCTTGAATAAATGGGCAAAACCATGAGTTTAGTTTACAAATAAGTGATTATCAGATGATGGTGATCACTGCTACCATGACTGTATTCCAGTTGGTACAACACAAGTTGAAGTCATTTACTCCAAAATGTCTCGTTTGGATCATTATATAATTTATATAATTGAAGGATTTAGAAACCTAATTATGTTTTTGCTTGTCATTTAATAAAGTGACATAACCAATATGCTTTCACAAATTCTGCTTTTCTACTTGCAATATTAAAACAAATTTTTTGAGCAGGTAGTTCTTTCTCTACTCCTGGCCTGATACGCAGCTTTTGTATAGAGCTTTCCCCTTTTCTCACAGCTGCTCTTCCTCTTACCAGTGTTATTTTTCATTGTCCTGCCAAAATGGTAAAAAAAACTCCTGTAGATGTGATTACCAACAATGCTTCTTGTCTGGTGTAAGTGATGTAGGCCCAGATCAACAAAAAAGGAATGAAAAGTTTCTAAACACCTTTGCAGATATGGGTCTTTTTGGTTGTAAATTCTCAGACTCTCCAGATACCATGCTCAGAACGCAAACTTTGTGATACATTTTCAGGAGGATTAATGTTTTGACTGATGGTAATAGATTTTGGCTAAGATTTTCAATGAAAGGTTAGAGAAATACATTGAAATATGACTCAGATCTTTTAGTGGCACTTTATTGATCAAAACAGACCTCTCAGTCATGCTCAAAGTTTCCCCCCAAAGGAACAGACTCCAATTACATGTCATATGTCATACTTACATGCTTCTCACACTGGGCTTTAAAATTACAGTTTCTAATCTATTTTCTTAATAAATGAAAGAAAAAGGTTAACTTTTTAAGAGTAATACATGATTTATATACATGAAACTCTGAATGACAAATTATGTATTTTAGATGAAAGCTGTTATTTACCTCTTTTACTTAAAATTTTTTAACCTAAATTTGGCAAAAAGATTGCATCTTATGACTGAAGATTAATTCATCTTGACTGCATGTAAGCAGTACCATTTTAATGATTTTTACAAATGAATTAAATTTATTATTGTTTTAAAGTGCTTAAGATTTGCAATAATCACAAAATGGGGGGAAAAAATGTCTTTTGGATTGAATTTGTTTGTATCCGAAAACATAAGAACATAGAAGTCTGACTGTTGTAAAAAAACCATTTGTTTATGGAGTTCTAAATATATTTTTACCTAGGTAGCAAAAATGGGAATTGAAACTGTGTGGGTTAGATAAAGCACAATTTATAGAGCATTTAACTTCTTAAAATGATTTTATTAATTAGATGGTTTCACTTCTATTTCTTCACAGAAAGTTCTATTGGCTAAGGACCTGAAATAAACTTTTCTCTTCTTCTTATGCCAAATACAGTGCCATGAAATAGATTGATAGATAGATTGTAGTAAATCACAAATCTAGTAAAGAACAAATCTCATTAAATGTTTACAGTGTGGAAATGTATCATGGAGCTTACCCAACAGTCTAGTATCTAGATGTTTTGCAGTGTCATTCTTCCTTTGCCAGTGCTGGTGGTATGAAAGTTATTACAGATTTATAGGTGAGGAAACCGTCAGTAAAATTAGAGCAGCTAATTAAATCAGTAGATTATCAAGAATTTCTCTTAAAAGCTCCATATAACTACCATTTTTGTTCATAAATAAACACAAAATCATAACATTATAAATTTAATTGCATATTAAGATTTGTTTTAAAAGAATGTACATTATCTAATGCCTTTCACTGGTCTTGCATCTTCTGAATATGAGATTTCTCACAAAACGATACAAGTCTTCATGCCTGACTCTCTGTCACTATATTCATCTGATATGTGGTCCTTTAAAGATCCTGGCTATCTAGCAGAGAAATTACATATGAGATGTTAAAATATGGTAAATCAATCCAAACCCTCAGGAAATATAACGAGGTTTGTAGATACTCATGATCTCTCTTTTTCATGCATCAGAAGACCAGTGAGGGAGCAAATATAGATCTAATAACTCCTTTTAAATGTCCAATTGTCCTTAAGAACTGAGGTAGCTAACCACTGTTTAGCCCTTTTAAAGCAAAACCATGATACTGCTAATTGTGTATCTGGTGTCTTCTAATTGGTTGGAAATTGGATTTTTTTCTGTGTAGATGTATCGATCATAAATATTTGATGCAACTGCTTGAAGTATTTAATCTGTGAGCAGACACTTAAATCTTATTTTCCTTGTTATTATTGCCTGGATTTTTATTTATTTATTTTTTTTTAAATATAGAGATGAACTGTAGTAGTTTTTTTATTATTATTTGCCCATCTTTGCATGAACTTCCTAAAGAATACATTTCTTCTCACATTTTGTATGAAATTTGAAGGCAGTGATTTTGCTAAATGGCTAATTGGCTGTAGGCGTCAGGTGTGTCTTAGTCTTCCACAATCAGTGAAGGTTTTTCTTTTTGTAGTAACACTTAAATATTCTACTTGGCAGGTGTTTTTTACATTATTATGGACATTTTATGTATGGCCTAGTATTAAGTGTGCTTACTTGAGATGCGTCTTGGCAGGTGTGTTTTACATTATTATGGACGTTTTATGTATAGCCTAGTATTAAGTGTGCTTACTTGAGATGTGAGTACGTAACGGTGAAGTTGCTGCTCCAATAAATAGTAACCAAGTGGCACAACTCCAGTAGAGGTGAGGTGCACAGAATGCTTTGGTATTAAGGACTGTAATGTGAATAAGGGAGACAGAATCTCAGATCTCTACCACAAATAAAGCTGTCTTCCACATCAGGAATGAATGTCCTGACCTCTAGAAACTGACTATATCTTAAAACGCCTTCCTTTATTATTCTTAGATTATTGTGGATGAGTCTGAGTCTTTTATGTATAAGATTACTTTAAAACTATCTATTGAGTGTAATAAGTTATTTTATATATATATTTAAAATATAAGTGTTTAAACATTAATGACTAGTTTTATGTAGTTTTAAAAATCTATATCAATATGCTAGTCAAAACTTAATTTTAATTTTGCTATGTCTTTGGATATAGCCAAAGTAATGAAGGCCCTACTGCTGAGAACTATTTTGATTCTACTTTTAAAGTTATGCATTCTCTCTTAGAGAGGTGACAGCTGAAAGGGGTTAATTTCAGCTGCATTTCAGTCTTTCATGGCACTTCTTAGCTTTTCTGTGAAAAGAATTCCTTTACTGCATTTCCATAATTTCATGTAATGCATATTGTGTTTGAGACATGTAGTAACTTAGCTTACCTCCAGCTAAGTTGGGTGCAGTTTTCCTTTACACTCACCTGTAATCTTATTGTTGTAAGAAAGCTCCACAAAGAGAAGAAATGAGGCAAAAATGGATGCCTGATACTAATCCTCTTAATGTGTCACTAAACTATCTTTGTGGAAAAAAAACAGTACCTCACTACCTTCACCCTTCCAGAAAAGTGTCTTCAAGTACATTTCCTTTCTTCTGTGGAACTATTACAGAAAATGAAGGTTTCTCATGCCAAAATGAAGATCTGTATTACTGCTCTTATCAGACCTGACTCTAGGCATTGATAATTAAGAATTTGCCCACTAAAGCAAAATGACTTTCTGTGCTGTTGTCTGGGAGAGCCAGTCTGGCTTCATCCACTGCCAGCAAGAGGTTAGGGTATATGGAGATGTTTCAGAGTAGAAGAGCGAGCCATCTTTATTCTATCCAAGCACTTTTTCTTTTCTTTGGATTTTAGCCTTCAGGGTCTGCTAGGTACTGACAAAATTTCAGCTTTTCTTCTCTCTGTCCTGAAGAGTACAGAAGTTAAATTTTTTGTAACTACCAAGTAGTTCTTAAGTGGCTCCAACTTCTCTACTTCCGCAAAAGAAGATGGAGGCAGTAGACTACCTGTTTCCTTTGTTTTTGGCTTTGTGACTGAGCAAATTATTGTTCCATCCCAGTTTGGCTTTGGTTTCAAAGTTGCATGTGAGATTAATATTTCCGTGATCAACATATTTTTTATACCTTTCAATTAGGAAATAAGAGATACAAAGAGGGGGTTAGTATGTTGCTTTTATGGATATACAAACAGCTGTGGTTTTCATCTTTAAAATATTTATGCTTTCCCTTCTGCTTGCATATGAACTCCTTTTCAGTCTATTATGTGTATCTGGATAGGTGACCATTGGTTTGAGAAAGTCCAGAAGTTTGGAAGTACATGCTTAATACTTTAATCTATGGTTGCATCTGCTAGATGCGCATAAACACCTGACACAGACTCATAAACCTTTTAAAGGTCTATCCTGTCAGTTGCTGAAACAAGTCTATAACTTAGTTTTAGACTTTTTATAGTCTCTCATAATAGAGATGACAGAAAATTGTAATAGTATCACTGCAGTGGTATGAAAATTCCAAAATTCAATATGGAAAATGTGGAGACAGACAGAATTTCACTAGTACCTTTTCTTTCTAGTCATTATCCATAGAAATTTGAGGGCTAGAATTCATGTAGTCCCAGTTTCTGGTACAAAGCATAACATAATCCCAGATCTTCAGGCCACAGAAGGTCTTACAGAAGTTAAGAAGGCTCATTGTCCACTGATTTTATTTCATAGAATCACAAAATGGTTTGGGTTGGGAAGGACATTAAGGTCATCTAGTTCCAACCCCTCTGCCATGGGCAGGGATGCCTCACACTAGACCATTTTGCCCAAGGCTCTGTCCAGCCTGGCCTTGAACACTGCCAGGGACTGAGCATTTACCGCTTCTTTGGGCAGCCTGTTCCAGTGCCTCACCACCCTCACATTAAAGAACTTCTTCATTATATCCAACTTGAACTTTCCCTGTTAAGTTTAAACCCCTTGTCCTATCACTGCAGTCCCTGATGAAGAGTGCCTCCCTGGCATCCTTGTAGGCTTCCTTCAGATATTGGAAGGCTGCTGTGAGGTCTCCACGCAGCCTTCTCTTCTCCAGGCTGAACAGCCCCAACTTTCTCAGCCTGTCTTCATATGAGAGGTGCTCCATCCCCCTTATCATCCTCATGGCCCTCCTCTGGATTTGCTCCGACAAGTATGTTTTATATTCCAGTACGTATGTTAATAGGTAGTAAGTATGGGGCCAAAGTGCTGAAACTACTTAAATAATTCAAATGCTTTAACTGTGATGGAGGACTTCAAAACAGTGGAACACTAGTGGAGGTGGAATGTTTAGAAACCTACACTGAGCTTGCAAGCTGGGAAATACAAGCTTCCATTTGGACAACACTGTAATGCAGAAAGAACCTGCACTGGTTTCCTTTGGAAATACTCAGATTATGAAGTCTGATTTTTCTCTAGTTTTTCTGGAGAATCACCCAGCTGTCTCAAAACAATTCTTGTACATTTCAGATGACATGTGAGGTTTGGAAATGTAACAAAGTCTTCCTTTTCCTAAATCATACCTAGCGTGTAAGAGCATGTTAATAATAACCAACAAGAAAATTTCAAGGTAACTGAAGTCCTTTTTCCTAGCTTTTTAAGCTTTTATCTTACGATGCTCTGCTAGAACACTCACTGCTCTTAGAATTCCCTCAGCTAGACAGTACCTGAAATTGTGACATTAAATTAAAATACAATTGAAGTTCTCCAGCTTAAAAGTAGTCTGGTACATACTGGATACACACAGATAAGTTCTGATTTACCTGACGTAAATTCCACTTAAGGGTATATGGCATAGTTTGCCTGTTTAATATTTTCTCTGAGAGCTTGGAACCACATATGGATTTAATAGATGAACGAATTTGAATGGAATATAGGCTTGGTGGTCTTGACAGTAATGACACTGTTTCAGATGTTCAGTTAGATTAAAAATTACTAGTTTGAATTTCTTGAAATGCTGAAGCTTGAGTATACTTACTTTCACATTTCATGAAAATATTGCTACTTTTCTTTTTCTTTAGATGATTTGCTTGACACATAAATGTAATTAATTTATTATGCCAGAGTGGCTGATGGCTTTTGTTTACCCTAGGTAGTGAAAAGCAAAAGGACACTTATTTCTATTTCCTTTGAAAAAAAAGAATTGTTGAACAACAGCTACTGTTTTGATCTTTGCCCATATTCAGTCTCTTAAAGGTAGCAGCAATGACTTTCTGTCACAGTGCGGGATTCTATCAGACTAAAAATCAGCAGAACTAGACTGCTTGTGTAATATGAGTTAACATTCTTGGTTGTACGCTAGCACGGTTGGTTTTGCGTTAAATAAAGAGGCCCTCCTGATCTCTAAAAGACTAAATTTTGGGGGTGTTGAACCTCTCTTTCAAACAAAGCTGACAGTCTGGCCTGAGATACTTGGATAAAATATGGAATGTTATTGAGTAGTAAGCTCATACACAGTGTCACAATTGTATATAGACATTACAAGCTTAGTATAAGATACGTATCTTTTTTAAGAATTGACAAGGTAAGTATACAAAACAGGCCCATTATATGGGAGCATAAAGAAGACAGATAACCCTCAAGAAGCATGGACAGACACAGGAAAGAGTTTGAAAGAAGAAATACTTTTTTTTTTTACAGCAGCAAGGTCAACACTTGAAGAGGAGAAACAATGCTGGTTGAGAAACTGGGAAGATGTCACACAGTTGCGTATTTTAAGATAATACCTTCTGTATGGCCATGAACCTGGCAGTTTGGGCCTTATTTCTTTTCTTGTAAAATGGGGTTGATAGCTTTTCGTTGTAGAGTAGGATGTTGTAAAGACTGATAGACCAAATAGATACTGCAGTGGTAAGAATGCATGCATATTTATAAAGGTAGACAAATAGCATTTTTGTTTCCAGAAGTGAAATGCCTTGTAGAAGAAGAAATGCTTAGATACAGGTGTAGGAGAGACTGAAGGTGAGGATGAAAATCTTGAGTCTCATGCAGCAAAAACAGGAATCAGAGGAAGGATTCAAAGACAAGGCAGTTATAGTCAGGAAATGTCAACGTGGCCTTTGCAGGTAGATGTGATCTTGTTCTACTTGTTCTGTGAGATGCATAGGTATGAACCAGATTCAGCTTGAAAGCTCTGTGGCCATTTTAGCACTGGATCCAGGCCAGTGGGATTTGATAACATGGATATTGGCTTAGAACTAGTGGGATCTGAATGGCGGAAACAACTTGGCTGTGTCTGCAGATGACTTGTATGCATAGCCCCAGTAAGGAAAATGGAATTTGCCATGGTCAAAGGTAATTTAAGTACTTCAAGCAGAAAGGTCTAGTTGCAAGTCTAGAAAGCATAAAATCACTGTAATTCCATCTTTGGCAGTGTTCAAGGCCAGGCTGGACAGGGCTTTGAGCAACCTGATCTAGTGGAATGGCAGGGGTTAGGAGCTAGGTGATCTTAAGGTCCTTTCCAGGCCTAACCATTCTATGATTCTGTGTTCATGCAGGTAAAAAAAAAAAAAAAAAAAAGAAAGCGGCTTAATTAGGCTGACTTTTCTTACCTGTACTCCTATTATTTTCCAGAATTTAATTATCCTGGATCCTCTTGTAGTAAATGAAGAGAAAATAAGGCCATCACTAGAGAAACGCCTGGAAGCTATTATCAGTGGAGCGGCTTTGCTAGCTGATTCTTCCTGCACACGTGATTTTCATCGAGAACGCATCATTGCTGAATGCAATGCTATCCGCCAAGCTCTCCAAGACCTGCTTTCTGAATACATAAACAATGTAGGTAACCAGACTTTTTCTTTTTTCTTTTTTCTTTTTTTTTTTAATGTCTGTTTCAAAGCCTACTTTAGCGTACATTAGAATTTAACCTATAATTAGTGCAAATTAGAGTTTAACCATCATTTCTCAACATACTCTTTAAAAGGTTGAAGGGAGCATTTTTCTGCATAAATCTAAGCAAAAGCTAAATACATATCCCCAGAATGAATAGGAATCATATTATATCACACAATCTATGGAAAATATTGCATTATAGGTACAAGGTACTTGTTTAGGTTAGTTTATACTTATTGTGAACAGTCACTAGTAAGAACAGATGTAATCCATCATACGCTGGCAGCGAGTGTCTTTGTAATGTCACTTTCTAGACTGCAGTTTTAAAATGTAATCTCCATTTGTGTAGGATGCAACAATTTAAATAGCAATGTGCTAAAATTTAAGTAAACTGTTAGTATCACTTTAAAGTAGAGTGTAGAGATTTGTAGTAGAGATTTGGTCTTTGTAAGAGCACCAAGTTGCCAGTGTAAAAATTACTTCATTGATAAATTAGAAAGCTGGGGCTGCTTGGTAAACCCAGAAATTTGGTTGTCTGGCATTTTTACAGGCCAATTAATCTGTGAATTTTTAAAAAAGGATTAAAGTTTGATTATGTTTTAAAAATAACTGTTATAGAGTGGATTTGGCACAGATACTATTAACATGGTTACACAGTGTTAATATAATTTTTTTCCTCTGGAAACATTTTTTTGTACACATACTGATCTTGTCTAAAGATACCTCAAAATGGTTCCTCAAACACTTGAGAGGATAGTTGTATGATACAGCTATTGGTTTTGGGCAGCTGAAATTCCTCTATTTTCTTCAAGTCATACTAGTTAACACAGTCTGAAGCTGTTCTAATAAGACTGTTTTCTTTGTCTTATCCTATTGTTAGAATAATGAAGTGTAGGGACTAAGATAATCTGTGCATGTCAGATGTTTTTTCATTTCACAGATACTGTACTTTCAGGTATTTTCTCTGTATTTGTCGGGGGCATGTGGAATACACAGCTGATTTCATTTTCTGTGAATTCAAGCTCCTTTTTCAGTCCCTATGCCAAATAAAGATGCTATCATATTTTACTCAAAATTTAGCTGCAGCTTCTGTTGAATGCAACACAATTCTTGAACCTTCCTGGTGGTGCTTGTCACAGGGATTTGCTATGTGAGATTTCTTTAGGTCTGGTTAGCTTGGAAAGTTAGTCTTTGCCACCTTCTTGCAGCAGTTGTCTATTGCAGTATCTGCTCTAGGGTGGATGAGGTTTGCTGTTACATGGCTGAAAGTTCAATAAGGGAGGGCATCAACCTTTAATGGTTGCACTTGATGGTCTTAAAGTAAAACTTCATGAGTGTTAAGTCAAATGGTCTTAAATTCTTAGACTCTTGAAACGAAATTGTGATTATCTTTTCTATTTGAGAAATAACCACTGTTTTAGGGTTACGTAGTGCAGACTAAGGGGAAAAGAGGAATGCATAAACCCTTCAACTTTCTCAAGTCAGGAAGCAGCTTTTTAAATATGGCAAAAAGAGAAAGTGTCTGCACAAGGTGACACAGACGAGGAGGGAAGCAGAAAAGAACAAATACAAAAGATTTAACGGTGGGAGGTATTCAACTAGGGTTAAATGACAGGAATGAATTTAAAGCTTTTAGTAGCTTTTAGTGCTCTTGATCTGCTTATACAATTAATATTTCAGTGGAAAAACTCTCACCAAGAATAGTTTATGGCTGTTACTGAGACCAGATTAATAAGTTTTTCAATGAGAAAATTATCAGGTGTCAGTTACTTTATTCCACAACTCTACCTCACTGAAGAATGGATGATGGATCCAGGAGACAGTGCTGACTTATGATTGTCTTCTGAGCTCTTCTGTTAATAACTTCAGTAAGCTATGGCTGTGAATTGAATGAGCTATTACAATTATGCCAGACGTTTGTTAACATAGTACAATTTAAGGACTACATTGTGATTCTGTTCCTCTCCTTGGGGACACTGTTGTACTCCAGAAGCAGTTGCACTGTCTACATAAAACTCCATGTGAGTTTATGTTGATGTTCTCATGATGTATATGTGCCCCATGCCAGAGTAAGGTACAGAGGATCTGTAGTTCTGCTTGAATGTGAGAATGGAAAGTTTACCCTGCCCACTATCCACAGGGAGCATGCTTTTGCTCCTGTCTTTGTCCTGATCGTGTATGGTTCACAAAACTTAGCCTACCCACTGTCAATTGATTTGTTTTCAGTCACTTAACTGTACTTGTCAGCTGCTTGGAAGACTTTTTTTTCCCCCTGGATTTGTGTCTATCATTTCTTGCTGGTATATTGGTTTGATTACTCTTCTTAAGGTTTCTCCCTATCTGAGTGTTGCTGGCAGGAGCCATATGGCTTCAGAGACACACAGGGTTTGTGCCATCTTTGCAAATACTTGTCTGGAAGCTGGTTTGCCAGGAAGCTTTATGAGCTGGGCTGACGCTGGTAACATTCAGTTTTATCTTAGAAGCCCTTGGGTCTGGTGCTGATGGTAGGTGCAGCCTGCCTGATAAGTGTTTAGCTTGAACAGGATCATTGTCGAGGACTTGAGTACCTGAATTCTGTTGAAGTTCTAAATCATCTTTGTTTTCAAAACTAGCCCTCAGCGCCTAAATAAATGTACAGGAACTTATGATTTAACCCTGACTATTTGAAACAGTACAAGGAATGTAGTTTTTGTGGTTCCTATTATTTCTTTTTCTCAAAGTTTCTAGTAAGCCTGAAAGATATCAAGTGAAATCAAGGGCCTATTGGTGCTAGTGATGAAATTTAGTTTTTACTGGAAGCTGAGAGAAACATCTTTTCAGCAGATCCTGCCTTTAAGTAAGTAGCTGTTTTTCACAGGGGCTATATCACAGAGAACCGGTGTAATGGAAAGTTAAGCAAAATGTTCTCTACACTAACAAAGACCCCCTCCACCCTCTGTTTCCAAGAAGCTTTAAGTTTTTCTGTTCACAAAGTAATTCAAACATATAGTAACTTGCAAATATATTTATAATTCTTCTGAAAGGCAGCAGTTTTTCTTCTGGTATTTCAGAATCCTTCATGTACTACTGTTAATCTCTCTGAATTTTACTCACAGACATACATTGTTAAGGGATATATTTGCATTTCAGCACATCAAACAGCAGAATTACTACTGTAAATTTGGATAGCTTATCAACAGCAGAATCAAACTACAGTGTGTGGATAAAAATGTATCCATAGGAGCAGTCATTTTGTTCTAATAATAGGCACTTTCATTTTCCTAATGACAAGCTTTTGTCTTGGCTCTACTCATCCTTTAAAGTTATTGAGTATGATGGAGTGTAGTGATACTAACTCCATGTTTTTTGAGGTCTCTGCTTTTACTCAAAAAGTGAGTGTTCAAAAGCGATAATAGAGTTGCAATTGAATGTGGGTTAAAGTGGCTGTTGTGAGCAGCAGTTAGGATGATTGCAGGCACTACTTTGTCTGCCTTCATTAAGGGTATATGTCTGAATAATTATTCTGCACCCACCTTTGGGTTTTAATAAAATGAAAACTGCCTAGATTGTTCAGGCAAGGCTGAAAAAAGGTTGGTAAAGAAAGGTCATATATGCTGATGGTGTGATAGCTGATTTGAATAGCTGAAATTGAATTAAAGTTTCATTACTTTTAGAATGCTGTTTCATGATATTTGAGCTTTAGTAGTTTCTCAGCTTCTTCTGTATATTGGTTGGATTTGGGTAGGTATACACACACAGTATTATGCATGTTGGGCCAGTATACTTTATGTCTTTTTTGACAAGTTGTAATTTCATTCTTTCATGTATTTCAAAGCCTTCTGTTTATTAACTGGGTTTATGCTAAAATTACGTAAGTTTTTTAGGGTCAAATAATGTCAGTTAAACAGTTTACATTTTCATTGTTGTTTTTGAAGTTTTTACTTTGAAAGTTTCAAAGTTTTTAAGATTTTTATCTTTAAAAATAGTTTCACAGGAATATCTGAAACATTGAGATTAGAAAATATATGTATAAAAACGATATTCTTAATGATCTTTTCAAAGATTGAAAGTTTAAAACCAGAAAGTGAATGGAAAACCAGGATTTTTTGTTTATTGATAGCATGGTCTGGGCCTTTCCTTTGTCAGCTCATAAATTTGAGCCCCGTGGAGTGCTCATGCCTTGCTTTACTCCTGTATTGAGTACTCTTGAACAACAGCTTAAGGTCAGACCCCCTGCCTCTATGCAGAGACTACCTGTGATTGATAATGTTGTGTGTGGTATTTTATTGCGATTCTTACTCTTTTAGAGTGGAAGGACATATAGATGCATCAAGAATACAGATATCTCAAACTTCATGTTACTTGTACTTTATGGTTTCCTGATGAAGTCTTTTAATGCTTCCCTGGGTAGAGGGAAGACAAGACACTTTGGTTTATCATCACAGTGGTGCAGTGTGTCTTGCATTTAAGCTACTTAATCTTGCTCTGAGCAGTGGAATTTTTATTTCAGTACTCGGGGGAACATTTCCGGTAGTTCTGAAAATAGCAAGAATTCTGCCAAAAGAGTCATTTCAAATTGAAAGAATAATTTTATTCATCTTAAAAAGCGAATGTTTCGTATTTTCAATGTAAAGAATGGCCTGTTTGTTTTTATTAGATATTTGTATCTCCTGGGGGTATTTTCCCTTAATTATCTGTGTACTATAGCTGCAGAAAAGTGGATTACTAGAAGTCAGTAATATGTATGTGAAAAGAGTGGTACTCCATAAATAAAAATTAGGGCATAAAATTCAGAGAAAATTCACACTGCATGAATCAGATAACCTAACTTGTGAAAAAGCTCCAGACACTTTTGGTTTCTGCTAATTTACCATAAAGTTTATGTTCTTCATTCACATAAGCGTTCAGCTAACCTGTTCCTCTCAGTCAGGCTTTGGAGAACATAGGCTGTTTCAGAAAATAGTGTT